TTTGGATGAGTATTTCCACTTTGCAAAACCAGGTGACTGACTCAGCTTTGGTTTCCCAGTCCTGGGCTTTCCCCAATAGACCCGGCTCCCTCTTTAATCAGCTCTACGCTCCCTTTAATAGTGAATTCTAAGAACATCGGAACGGACAAATTGGGTCAGAGCAGAGGCCCATCAACCCCAGTCTTGGGTCTCCAATCATGGCCAGCACTAGCTGCTTCAGATGACCTGTCTAAATTACTAAGCCTTTGCCAGTATAGCTATGCCAGCAGAGCCTCCTAGTAGAGACCCAGCATACACTGACAGAAGGAGCTCTGCCCATATGGCTACACCACCTCCCTGAACCACATTAGCTAAACCAACAGAGAGACTCATCTATCAGCACAGTTGCTTCTACACAGAGATTTTGATGGCATAGCTATATCGGCTAGAGGGTGTGATTTGTATCAAACTCCCAGCTAGCAAAACTTAGTATAGACTAAGCCCTCTAGTAGACAGTTATGGAATTATGGGAGAAGTCACTTCATGACCTGAGCCCAGGCATTTCATGGTTGGCTCATGCCCTGAAGCAGAAGAGTCGATATTCCTGTGGATGGACTCATTATTCATGTAAGCATCTAATCACACTTTGAATCCTACTGTGCTCTTTGCCCCTAAAATATCTTGTGGAAGTGAGTTCCACCTTTAACTATGTTCTCTCTCTTGACATTTCTCCTGCTGCCCCACTTCTTCCCATCTGTTCCTCCTTCTAATCAGTATTATTTATTTTATGGTAGCAGCTAGAGAGGTGCTTCATAAACACATAGCAAGAGACAGTCCCTTCCCCAAACTCTTATAGTCTAAATAGACAAGACAGAAAGGGTGAGAGGGGGAACAGAGGCATAGAGACAGGCGGCAGAGGAAGGTCAGTGTCGGGGCTTGGAATTGCATCCAGGTCTCCTGGGCAGTTCAGTCCGCAGTCCACTAGACCAGTGGTTCTCAAAGCCGGTCCGCCGCTTGTTCAGGGAAAGCCCCTGGCGGGCCGGGCCGGTTTGCTTACCTTCCGCGTCCACAGGTTTGGCCGATCGCGGCTCCCACTGGCCCCAGTTCACCGCTCCAGGCCAATCGGGGCTGAGGGAAGGGCAGCCAGCACATCCCTCAGCCCGCGCCACTTCTCGCAGACCCCATTGGCCTGCAGCAGCGAACTGCGGCCAGTGGGAGCCACGATCGGCCGAACCTGGGGACACGGCAGGTAAACAAACAGGCCCTGACCGCCAGGGGCTTTCCCTGAACAAGCAGCAAACCAGCTTTGAGAACCACTGCACTAGACCATGCTACCTCCCTCTCTTTTCTTGCATTTCCTCCCCTACCTTCTCTTTTTCCTTCACTTTCCCTTTCTTCTGATATTCCATTGTTACATGTGGCTTTTCTCCGTGTGTGTTATTACAGAAGTGACACTACGTGATTTACTATGGTTTAATCTTTACTTTCTTTGCCTGGAAATGCTCCGCAGTGGACTCACCCCAGTTTAGGGTGACCAGATGTCCCAATTTTATAGGGACAGTCCCGATTTTTGGATCTTTTTCTTATATAGGCTCCTATTACCCCCCACTCCCTGTCCCGATTTTTCACACTTGCTGCCTGGTCACCCTACCCCAGTTTTGCACCTTGCGAGTCATATGCGGCTGTGCAAAGTGGGTATAAAATGCTAGCAAATCCAAATTCTTCACTCACTCCAATGGAAACATTTTACAGCTCCTTTGCACAGAAGCAAATCACTGCACAAGGAGCAAATCCATGGAGAAGCAGACCCAGTAGGTGGCTCCCTTCATGTTGAGTCAGGATTGGACCAGAATCCTTATACTGTACAATGTTAAGGAGCTGTAAGCTGCTAGGGGTGCCTCCTTCAAACAAGGCATAAATCTGTGAGGTCCTGACCATTTGTAGTCGGAGATTCCAACCAGGGCCGGCTCTAGGTTTTTTGCCGCCCCAAGCAAAAAAAATTTTGGCTGCTCCCCGGTCCCAGCCCTGGGCTCCTCGCCACACCCCCCTGCTGCCCCAGCCTTGGGCTCTCCCCCTCCACCCCCATCCCCACCCCCTGCTGCCCCAGCTCTGGGCTCCCTCATTCCTCCCCATCATTGCAACCAACACACACCTCCTGCCGCCCCAGCCCTGGGCTCTCTCCCCTCCCCACCTGCACCCTCCTTCCGCCGCAGCCCTGGGTCACTGGTAACTCGCTCCCACGGCAGGTCATTCAGCAGGAATTTTAGATGTGCACAGAACACAGACAGGATTCGTTCCCATATGGTTACAGAACTGCAGTAAAGTGGAACAATTTTCAGCTTGGGTGATTGGAGGATATCTGGATGCATATTATAAGACTGCCCTACATAAATGAGGAAAAGTTGAGGTGCCTTTATTATTCTTTTCTTCCATTCTTTCTTTCTATGGGGAATTTGCCAATGCAATATCACTGTCTTCCTTTTACACAAACAAACAAACAAACAAACAAAAAGGCAATGGCTGTTGAAAATAGCAATTCCAGTCCTAATCACACTGGGAAGCATTTCTTGCTCAATTTTATCCTACTTTTTCTACAGCAAGTTACAGTGGATCCGTATATTTGATTTGGGAGAAATGAAGTAACAGCTGCCCAAACTGAGCTTGAGCACTCCT